CCCTGAGCGACGCATCGGTTTGGTCATAGAGGTGGCTCGCTGAGCGGTTTCCTCTGGATCGGGTGCCCTGGTGACGCGTCTGTGTTCCATGTCTGGGGCTGCTTTGCTTATGTTCATGCCTCTGGCACAGATAACCTCATTGCCTGCACCGTCCCTTGTGTCGTCCTTAGTATTCCCCTAGACGCGTCTGATTGGCACTTTTGCCACCCGCCGTCTCACCGCTTCTTTCACTCGCATGATGTCACTTTTGGCAAGTATGTCTCCTTTTACCATCGCTTTCCCCACCGAGGTCTCCCGGCTACCCCCCTCTCTGGTCCTGATCCCCAATCCCCCAGTAGCCCCCACCCCGCTCCCTCACCGTCTTGCCCCGTATGGTATGTCTCACGTGACTCCCCTCCCGTTGGTTGTTCCGGTAGAGGAGTCGACTGACTCTGGGTGCCCTGTGACTCGGGTTTTGCCACCTGTCTCCGCCCCTGTGTCTCCTCTTCCGCCGTCGCAACAGCAGCCGCCGTCGTCGCCGCCGCAGCAACAGCCATTTTCACTGCCACAGCAGAAGCTGCCGCCGCAGGGGTCTGCCAGCTCCGGAGGTGAGGGCGCTGGGGAGGGTGCTGGTTCTGGGGGTGCTAGTCCTAGGGGTACTGTTGTGGCTTGTCTCGGCGGTCCTGGGGGTGGCACCATTGCTGGAGAGGGTTCTCGTACTGGGGGTGATGGTTCGGGGGGTGCTAGTCCTGGGGGTACTGTCGTGGCTTGTCCAGGTGGTCCTGAGGGGGCACCGTTGCTGAAGAGGGTTCTCGTTCTAGGGGTGCTAGTCCTGGGGTTACTGTCGTGGCTTGTCCTGGCGGTCGTGGGGGTGCCACCGGTGCTGGAGAGGGTTCTCGCTCTAGGGGTGCTGTTGTGGAGCGTCTCGGAGGTAGCCGTGCTGCGGTCGGAGGCTCTGGTGTCGTCATGGAGCAGCAGCAGCAGTCGCAGCCGGTGTCTGCCCTTCGCCTCCTCGGCCTTCCCTCCCCCAACCACCCGCATGCGCCTCCCCCGTTGCTGCCTTCCTTGCCTATCTACGGCCCTGTGTTTCCTCCACTAGACTCGTCCCCGGATTGTTTTCCCCCTCGTTCCCCTCCTGTGTCCCCTCCTGTATCTCCTGACCCGACGCCTGCGTCTCACTTCTGGTCTCGCCGTCCCTCTCGTGCTCGTCCTGTCTCCCCGGTTCATTGTTCTCACCCTATCTTGCGCCGTTCTCACGTGTCTCGTGCTCCTCTTCTCCCGTCGCCTCCTCAGTTGTCGCTTGGTGTCTCTCTCCCTCCTCTGTCTGACTTTCTTTGTGCAGCTAGTCCTCTTCTTCCTCCGGTCCTTGCCTCTCTTGTTACCGACCCGTCTGTTTCTGCCTCGAGTCTTGACACTCTTGTCGCCGCCGCCTTGACTACGCCACTGCTCTGCTTTCTGACCCTGCCCGTCCTCCGTCTGTCAGGGGTGCACCTGCCCTTGGCAGTGACGTCCTTGAGGACACGCAGTACGAGCTTGCTTTCCTAACCGAGGCTGCGCCTCATCTCTGCTCCATGCTACTAGTCCCTGAGGGTGGCCCAGACGCCCTTGACATCCCGACCCCTCGCAACTACGTTGAGGCGACCTCCGGAGCCTGGACTTCTCTGTGGATAGCTGTCATGGACGCGGAGATGGCATCTTGGGGATCCACCGGCACCTACGTCGACGCAGTTCTCCCAGCTAGGGTGAATGTAGTGGATGGCCGGTGGCTCTTCAAGGTGAAGTGCCCTCCTGGAGTGCCGCCTGTATTCAAGGCGCGCTACGTGGCTAGAGGCTTTAGTCGGCGCAAGGGTGTTGACTTCTTCCGGACCTTCGCCCCGACCCTGAAGATGACCACTCTTCGGGTGCTGTTATACGTAGCAGTACATCGTGACTACAAGCTACACTCCTTCGACTTCTCTACAGTGTTTCTCTAGGGCAGTCTGCACAAGCAGGTCTACTTGCGCCGCCCGCCAGGCATCACCGGCACCTTCAACCCTGGGATCCAGTGGCTTCTCCGGCGCCCGGTCTACGGCCTGCGGCATGCGCCGCGTGAGTAGCATGACGTGCTGCGTGTTACATTAGCTGAGCTGCAGTTCTTACCATCGTCTGCAGACCCTTCGCTCTTCGTTCGTTCAGGCCAGACAGCCTGGTCTTCATAAGTGCAGACAGAGACGCATTGGCCTCCGTGAAGGCTGAGCTGCTGAGGAGACACACCTATACGGACTTGCACTGGCGCTACCTTGGCCTGCAGGTCTCCAGGGATAGATCAGCGCACACCATCACTCTCACGCAGTCACACTTGGTGCGCCAGGTCCTTCAGAGGTTCGGTCTTTTGTTCTCCTCCGCACAGCCCACACCTCTGCCTGTAGATCACATGCTCTCGGCTCCAGTCCCTGAGGACTAGTGGTCCGTACGCAGAGCTGGTGGGTTCCCTCATGTACGTGATGACTTGCACTCGTCCAGATCTCGCATACCCTCTCAGCATCCTGGCTCGCTTTGTGGCGAGAGGCAGACACCGACCACAGCACTGGTCAGCCGCTAAGAGGGTTTTGCGTTATCTAGCAAGTACATCGGGCATGGGGCTAGTGCTAGGAGGGCGCAGGCCAGTGGTTCTCACAGGGCACACAGACGCTTCGTGGGCAGACCACGCTGAGACGCTCAGGTCCTCCCAGGGCTACTGCTTTAGCCTTGGTGCAGGCGCCATCTCGTTGAGGTCCAACCGCTCGTCGTCTTTTACACAGTCTAGCTGCGAGGCCAAGATCTACGCCGGTGCCATGGCGGCATAGGAGCTCCGCTGGCTGACTTTCTTGCTCACAGACTTAGCTCTACCCCGGTCCTGTACGCTGACAACAGAACCATGAACCTCCTGTATTAGGAGCCTCGACTAGAGGGCAGAGCAAAGCACATCCAGCTGCGGTACTTCCTCCTGCGCGAGCTACAGCAGCGCCGCCAGGCCCGCGTAGTACACTTGGCCTCCGGTGCCAACAAAGCTGATATCTTTACTAACGAGCTTGCGCATAAAGATCATAAGCGGCACTAAATACAGCTTGGTCTAGTTCCTGTAGCTCCTCACTTGCTAAGGCCTTGATTGTGTACTACACTTTATAGTATCTTGACTGGCCTTGTGGCTCCTCCAGTGGCCGAACTAGTTTGTACTCGTCTGACTGGTCTTTGGACCCTTGCCTCAGAGGTTGGACTTGTAGTGCCACCCTGAGCTGCGTGTCTCTTGCCAGGCACTGCCCCTTGTCTAGCCTAGGGGGTGTGTCAACATATATTTGCATATGTTATAGGCTAGATAGGTGCCTGCTCATAGGGAGTACAACAAACAACCTTATATTCCCTTGTGTGCCCTGTCTCTAGTCATTCCGCTAATCTGAGAGGAATTGCCCTAACCAAGGTGGTCCTGATGAGAAAGAAAGATGTTGAGTTGTGAGAACCCAGGGAGGAGCTCTCGAGTTTCACTTATTGCAGTCATTTGCCGGCCCAGTACGGTACAGTCAGCTTCCCCCAATAGAATCACAAAGTGTGTGGTTGGACTGGAAGCACAATTCAAAAGCAGGGAGGAGAAAACAGAGTTTTTGTCAAGATACACGTTGGGGTTATGGGCGCACTTACCCGCTACTTAACAAGCCCTTTTAATTCAGTGGTTAGTGACTGCGTTCTGACATGGTATCACAGCCAGCTGGCACTGCCAAGGAAGCAATTCTGCTCTTCCACCTGGCAAAGGCAATGCCACATTGTGATGCAAGTCCAGAAGTTGTTGGCATGAAGGTCTTATCACCAACACACGAACGTAGTTTTTGAAAGTTGTCAGTGCATGTCAGTTGCAATTTGCAAACCACCACATCCCTATGCAGCAATGGCATGAGCTCCTGTTCTCTGGACAAAGGGAGGGTAGGGTCAGGCACCAAATAGTGTTCCTAGCCTAGAGAGCATCTTGTCCTATCCTATGTGGTTAGAGCCTGGCCTATCTGGTGTTCATCCCTGGGTCTTCATGCGGCTTCATGTGGCTCCCTGCATGAGTGTCCTGCAAGAAAGAGGAGGGCGGCAGGCAGGCAGGCGAGATTTGAGTTTCACCACAGCTGGCCGCAGCATGGGAGGGGTTATGCGTGGGGGAGGATGCATGGAGGTGCATGGGGGGGCATGCATATCAGGGGGGATGCATGGGGTGGGCGACGCATACGGCGGGGGACGCATCCGGGGGGATGCATCGGGGGGGAGATGCATATGGGGGGGGATGCATAGGGGGACGATGCATGGGCGGGGGGATGCATAGGGGGGGGATGCATAGAGAGGGGGATGCATGGGGAGGGGGATGCATAGGGGGGGGAATGCATTAGGGGGGGATGCATAGGGGGGGGTATGCATAAGGGGGGGATGCATAGGGGGGGGATGCATAGGGGGGGGATGCATACAGGGGGGGGATCCATGGAGAGGGGATGCATAGGGGGGGGATGCATAGGGGGGGGATGGATACGGGGGGGGATGCATACAGGGGGGATGCACGGGTGGGGGGATGCATGGGGGTGGGATGTATGGGGCGCGGGATGCATAGGGAGGGGAATGCATAGGGGGGGGATGCTTAAGTGGGGGGATCCATAGGGTGCTGATGCATAAGGGGGATGCATTATGCATAGTGGGGGGGATGCATGGGGGGGGGGTACATAGGGGCGGGACGAAAAAGGGGGGACGCAAAAGGGGGGAATGCATAGGGGGGATGACGCATAGGGCGGGGATGCATAGGGGGGAGTAGGGGGGGGATGCATAGGGGGGGGATGCATAGGGGCGGGGGATGCACAGGGGGGGGGGATAGCTCTGGCGGTCAGAGGCAGAGCTCTGGCGGTCAGAGTCAGAGATTTGGCTTCAGAGTCAGAGCTCTGGCCGTCAGAGTCAGAGCTCTAGCCGTCAGAGCTCTGGCGGTCCGAGTCAGAGCTCTGGCGGTCAGAGGCAGAGCTCTGGCAATCAGAGTCAGAGCTCTGCCAGTCAGAGTCAGAAATCTAGCGGTCAGATTCAGGGCTCTGGTGGTCAGAGTCGGAGCTCTGGCCGTCAAAATCAGAGCTCTGGCGGTCAGGGGCAGAGCTCTGCCCATCAGAGTCAGAGCTATGGCCGTCAAAGTCAGAGCTCTGGCCGTCAGAGTAAGAGCTCTAGCGGTCAGTGTCAGAGCTCAGGCGGTTAGAGTCAGAGCTCTGGTGGTCAAAGTCATAGCTCTGGTAGTCAGAGTCAGAGCTCGGGCGGTCAGAGTCAGAGCTCCAGCTGCAAAATCAGAGCTCTGGCGGTCAGAGGCAGAGCACTGGTGGTCAGATTCACAGCTCTGGCCGTCAGATTCAGAGCTATGGCGGTCAGAGTCAGAGCTCTGACGTCAGGGTCAGAGCTCTGGCCGTCAGAGTCAGAGCTCTGACCGTCAGAATCCGAGCTCTGGCGGTTAGAGTCCGAGCTCTGGCCATCAGAGTCAGAGCTCTGGCCGTCAGAGTCAAAGCTCTGGCGATCAGAGGCAGAGCTCTGGCGGTCAGAGGCAGAGCTCTGGCGGTTAGAGTCAGAGCTCTGGTGGTCAAAGTCAGAGCTCTGGCGGTCAGAGTCAGAGCTCTGGCTGCAAAATCAGAGCTCTGACGGTCAGAGGCAGAGCTCTGGCGGTCAGATTCAGAGCTCTGGCCGTCAGATTCAGAGCTATGGCGCTCAAGGGCAGAGCTCTGGCGGATAGAGTCAGAGATCTGGTGGTCAAAGTCAGAGCTCTGGTAGTCAGAGTCAGAGCTCTGGCGGTCAGAGTCAGAGCTCTGGCGGTCAGAGTCAGAGCTCTGGCTGCAAAATCAGAGCTCTGGCGGTCAGAGGCAGAGCTATGGCGGTCAGAGTCAGAGCTCTGACAGTCAGAATCAGAGCTCTGGCGGTTAGAGTCAGAGCTCTGGCAGTCAGAGTCAGAGCTCTGGCCGTCAGAGTCAGAGCTCTGGCGGTCAGAGACAGAGCTCTGAAGGTCAGAGGCAGAGCTCTGGCGGTCAGATTGAGAGCTCTGGCGGTCAGAGTCAGAGTTCTGACCGTCAAAATCAGAGCTCTGGCGGTCGGAGGCAGAGCTCTGGCGGTCAGAGTCAGAGATTTGGCTTCAGAGTCAGAGCTCTGGCCATCAGAGTGAGAGCTCTGGCGGTCAGAGGCAGAGCTCTGGCGGTCAGAGGCAGAGCTCTGGCGATCAGATTCAGGGCTCTGATGGTCAGAGTCGGAGCTCTGGCCGTCAAAATCAGAGCACTGGCGGTCAGGGGCAGAGCTCTGGCCGTCAAAGTCAGAGCTCTAGCGGTCAGAGTCAGAGCTCAGGCGGTTAGAGTCAGAGCTCTGGTTGTCAAAGTCAGAGCTCTGGTAGTCAGAGTCAGAGCTCTGGCGGTCAGAGTCAGAGCTCTGGCGGTCAGAGGCAGAGCTCTGGAGGTCAGATTCAGAGCTCTGGCCGTCAGAGTCAGAGCTCTAGCGGTCAGAGTCAGAGCTCAGGCGGTTAGAGTCAGAGCTCTGTCCGTCAGAGTCAGAGCTCTAGCGGTCAGAGTCAGAGCTCTGGCGATTAGAGTCAGAGCTCTGGCGATTAGAGTCAGAGCTCTGGTGGTCAAAGTCAGGGCTCTGGTAGTCAGAGTCAGAGCTCTGGCTGCAAAATCAGAGCTCTGGCGGTCAGATTCAGAGCTCTGGCCGTCAGATTCAGAGCTATGGCGGTCAGAGTCAGAGCTCTGCCGTCAGAATCAGCGCTCTGGCGTCAGAGTCAGAGCTCTGGCCGTCAGAGTCAGAGCTCTGGCCGTCAGAGACAGAGCTCTGGTGGTCAGATTCAGAGCTCTGGCGATTAGAGTCAGAGCTCTGGCGATTAGAGTCAGAGCTCTGGTGGTCAAAGTCAGGGCTCTGGTAGTCAGAGTCAGAGCTCTGGCTGCAAAATCAGAGCTCTGGCGGTCAGATTCAGAGCTCTGGCCGTCAGATTCAGAGCTATGGCGGTCAGAGTCAGAGCTCTGCCGTCACAATCAGCGCTCTGGCGTCAGAGTCAGAGCTCTGGCCGTCAGAGTCAGAGCTCTGGCCGTCAGAATCCGAGCTCTGGCGGTTAGAGTCAGACATCTGGCCGTCAGAGTCAGAGCTCTGGCCGTCAGAGTCAGAGCTCTGGCGGTCAGAGACAGAGCTCTGGTGGTCCGTGGCAGAGCTCTGGTGGTCAGGGTCAGAGCTCTGGCTGTCAGAGTCAGAGCTCTGGCCGTCAGAATCAGAGCTCTGGTGGTCAAAGTCAGAGCTCTGGCCGTCAGAGTCAGAGCTCTGGCGGTCAGAGTTAGAGCTCTGGCGGTAAGAGTCAGAGCTCTGGCCGTTAGAATCAGAGCTCTCGCGGTTAGAGTCAGAGCTCTGGCCGTCAGAGTCAGAGCTCTGGTGGTCAGAGTCAGAGCTCTGGACGTCAGAATCCGAGCTCTGGCGGTTAGAGTCAGAGCTCTGGCCGTCAGAGTCAGAGCTCTGGCCGTCAGAGTCAGAGCTCTGACGGTCAGAGGCAGAGCTCTGGCGGTCAGAGGCAGAGCTCTGGCGGTCAGAGTCAGAGCTCTGGCAGACAGAGTCAGAGCTCTGGCTGTCAGAATCAGACCTCTGGCGGACAGTGTCAGAGATTTGGCGTCAGAGTCAGAGCTCTGGCCGTCAGAGCTCTGGCGGTCAGAGTCAGAGGTCTGGCGGTCAGAGGCAGAGCTCTGGCGATCAGAGGCAGAGTCAGAGGTCGTCAGAGGTCTGGCGGTCAGAGGCCGTCAGAGGCCGTCAGAGGTCTGGCGGTCAGAGGCAGAGCTCTGGCGGTCAGAGTCAGAAATCTGGCTGTCAGATTCAGAGCTCCGGCGGTCAGCGTCCGAGCTCTGGCGGTCAGAGTCAGAGCTCTGGCGGTCCGAGTTAGAGCTCTGGTGGTCAGACTCAGGGCTCTGGCGTCGGAGTCAGAGCTCTGGCGGTCAGAGTCAGAGCTCTGGCCGTTAGAGTCAGAGCTCTCGCTGTCAGAGTCAGGGCTCTGGCGGTCAGACTCAGATCTCTGGCGGTCAAAGTCAGACCTCTGGCGGACAGAGTCAGAGCTCTGGCAGTCAGAGGCAGAGCTCTGGCCGTCAGACTCAGAGCTCTGGCAGTCAGAGTCAGAGCTCTGGCGGTCACAGGCAGAGCTCTGGCCGTCAGATTCAGAGCTCTGGCGGTCAGAGTCAGACCTCCGGCGGTCAGAGTCCGAGCTCTGGCGGTCAGAGTCAGATCTCTGGCGGTCAGAGTCAGACCTCTGGCGGACAGAGTCAGAGCTCTGGCAGTCAGAGGCAGAGCTCTGGCCGTCAGACTCAGAGCTCTGGCAGTCAGAGTCAGAGCTCTGGCGGTCACAGGCAGAGCTCTGGCCGTCAGATTCAGAGCTCTGGCGGTCAGAGTCAGACCTCCGGCGGTCAGAGTCCGAGCTCTGGCGGTCAGAGTCAGAGCTCTGGCAGTCAGAGGCAGAGCTTTGGCCGTCAGATTCAAAGCTCTGGTGGTCAGAGTCGGAGCTCTGCCGGTCAGAGTCAGATCTCTAGTGGTCAGAGTCAGAGCTCTGGCGTCAGAGTCAGAGCTCTGGCGCTCAGAGTCAGAGCTCTGGCCGTTAGAATCAGAGCTCTGGCCGTCAGAGTCAGGGCTCTGGCTGTAAAATCAGAGCTCTGGCTGCAAAATCAGAGCTCTGGCGTCAGAGTCAGAGCTCTGGCCTTCAGAGTCACAGCTCTGGCCGTCAGAATCCGAGCTCTGGCGGTTAGAGTCAGAGCTCTGGCCGTCAAAGTCAGAGCTCTGGCGGTCAGAGGCAGAGCTCTGGCGGTTAGAGTCAGGGCTCTGGCCGTCAGAGTCAGAGCTCTGGCCGTCAGAGTCAGAGCTCTGGCCGTCAGAGTCAGAGCTCTGGTGGTCAGAGGAAGAGCTCTGCCGGTCAGAGTCAGAGCTCTGGCGGTCAGAGTCAGAGCTCTGGCCGTCAGAATCAGAGCTCTGGTGGTCAGAGTCAGAGCTCTGGCCGTCAGAATCCGAGCTCTGGCGGTGAGTGTCAGAGCTCTGGCGGTTAGAGTCAGAGCTCTGGCCCTCAGAGTCAGGGATTTGGCGTCAGAGTCAGAGCTCTGGCCGTCAGAGCTCTGGCGGTCAGAGTCAGAGCTCTGGCGGTCAGAGGCAGGGCTCTGGCGGTCAGAGTCAGAGATCTGACGTCAGAGTCAGCGCTCTGGTGGTAAAAGACAGAGCTCTGGTGGTCAGAGTCAGAGTTAGAGCTCTGGCTGCAAAATCAGAGCTCTGTCGATGGACCTTTCTGCTGGGCTCGTGTCCGCAGACTTCGTTGATATGCTACTTACGCAGACTTCTGCAACCTTCGCAGGATCAGGGCTATTCTCAACACTCCCCTGCACTGGTCATGTGAAATCACCAACCAGCAGAGAACGGGTCTAGAGGAAATCGTAAGAAATGAAAACACACAAAATGAACACACAAGAAATTGCGAGAATCTGCACTTCTTCGCACGTTGGGATCACCGCACCAGCCATGAAAGAGGTCATGGCGCCTACTCTTCCCCTGAAGAGACTCCTTCTGCGCTCCCTTTTGCAGACAATCGCACCTGACCCACTCTGCCGAAGCATTGATCGAACGCAGGAAAATGCAAGGCCTTGGTCAAGTAATCTGCCGACTGTTCGTTCGTCAGGATGTGCTGCAATTTCATCTTGCGACGTGCGACCATCTGCTGCACCCACATGTACCGCCGCTCCATATGCGTAAGGCTCCCCTTGAGCCCCATCCCTTCTGACACAGAAATGGCAGATTGATTGTCGACATAGAGCGTCGTGGGCTCATCCTCATTGAGGAGCCCATACTCTGCCAGCAAAAAGCGCAGCTTTCGTGCTTCTTTGCCAGCCTCCACGGCAGAGATGTACTCAGATTCCGCAGACGAAAAGGTGACACATTTTATCCTCTTGCTCGCCCACAAAATTGCAGCTCTACTGAGGGTGAAAATGTAGCCACTTGTGCTGCTGCGACTCTGCCTGTCGCCAGCATCTGCGAAACCAACGAGGCGCAGATTTGTGGCTTCTCCGCCAAGCTCCAGAGCCACATCGCGAGTCCCCACGAGAGACGCAATGCAACGGTCGAGCTCCTTCCAGTGCTGATCACTTCGAACAGTTTGCTCAGACGCGAGCTTGCTGCAGGCAAAAGCGATGTCCAGACGTGTCGTGCAGGCGGCGAACTGCAGAGATCCCACTCTTTGGCGATACTCTTCCTCTGTTCGTCCCTGCAACTCTGCATCGTCGAACGTCATCTCTTTGAATGCATCGACAGAAATCGGCGTTTTCGGGCTTCGTCGAGGAGGCCCCTCTGGCAGAAAACGCCTCTGCAGTTTGTCGATGTAGCCTCTCTGGTGCAGCCAGATCTTCTGAGCAGATCTGTCCCAGATCAGCTCCAAGCCCAAGTACTTCAGCACATGACTTATCTCTCGAAGCTTGAACGCCTTCTCGAGCAGAGTCTTCAACTCTGCCAAATGCGCCTTGCTCCGACCTGCAGCCAGCAGATCGTCGACGTAGACGAGCAAGTAGCACTTGTCACCGTGCTCGTCTTCGTGGAAGTAGAAGGCTTCGTCGACCCGACTCTTCGACCAGCCCCCGCTCTACAGAACTCCATCGAGTTCTTCGTACCACAGCTTTGGACTCTTCTTAAGCAGACAGACTCTGCCGCTGCCGTCATCATAGTACTTCGGCTGCTTCATGATACGGTCGATGGGTGAATTAAGAAAAGCGTTCGTCATGTCGAGTTGCATCAGCTCTGTGAGAGTACGACCCCGTTACACCACTTGGCCTTTTCTTATTTCCTTCCCTTTTCATTTCTCTTTTTACCGCATCTCATTTGGGTTCTTATTCTTCCTTTTCCATTAACCTTTGGTTTATCCTGCTATTATAAGTATATCACCGACCAGGCTTGGGATGTATTGGTGTGCTATATCTAGCGTAATCCTGCCGTAATCCCTTAAAGCCAATGGCCTTGCGTGGCTATACGCAGGGTGATTCTATATTCTAGAAGGGTCTATTCCTTTGGATAAGATAAACATGGTTACCTGATGTACTCTGGAAGTATAAAAGCGCCTTGTACTGATCGATAGTGCAACCTTTTCTCGACACATTCGATCCTGTGACACTTGGTAATCAGAGCTTTTCTCACTCGGCCGCGCTCAACAAAGCAGCAGCAGCGGAAAACCTGCCTCGAAAAACCGCCGGGGGCGACGAATTCGACGCCGATTCTGGTAAGCACCAGCTCCGCGATTTTCGAATTACCCCCTCCGTGCGTGTTTTGAACAGGATGGCAACCTTCGACAACGCCGAGGTTACCCAGCAGCTCTTCGCGCGCATCGCAACCCTTCAGGAGGAAATGCGAGCGGATCGCGAAGCGTGGCGAAACCAGTTCGAGCGAGTAACTCGACTTGCCGGAGCGCAGCACGAGACGACAACGGCGACGACGCAGCAGTCGCAGCAGTTTCTCGAGGCTCCGAAACCGCGCCCACCTGAGCCGTTCGATCCGAGCGATCGAAACTCCGACGCCCGCAGATGGATCGCCGGGATGGAGATCTACTTCGCAGCCGTCGGATGGAGCTCGCCAGTCTGGGACGGTCAACGTGTACGACTCGCGGCGACACTGATGCGAGGGCCGGCACTCGAGTGGATTGGCGGCAACAGTACTTTCATCCACGGTGAAGCCACGTGGCAGCAGTTCCGCGCCGACCTGCTGAAACACTTCGAACCGATAAATTCGAGTTTCCTTGCCCGCGAAAAAATTCATCGCCATCGACAGTTCGGGAGTGTAGCACAGTACACGCAGCAGATGGAAGAATTTTATAACCGAATTCCCGACCTGACCGAAGGGGAAAAAGTGCAATCGTACCTCGCAGGGCTGAAGACCGAAGTCAAACGACAAGTCGCAGCGTCAAACTACGCGAGCTACAGTGACGTCGTTTCGGCAGCGGAGCGCTTCGACATGGTCAACGCCGGAGCACGACGGACGCACGTCGGCAGTACGCGACAGGGCGACCGCTCGGCTCACCCCACGTTCGCCGACCCGATGGAAGTCGACAGATTCGAGGGGCGGCCACGTCCGAAAAACACCAACTACACGTGTGATTTTTGCGGGGTGCCGGGCCACCGAATCTTCGACTGCAACAAAATGAAGGCCGCACGCGCAGAGTATCGGGCACGCAACAGTGGCGGAAATCTTTCGGCCAATCAGAAGACAAAAAAGGGGGTCGCCAGTGATTGCGGATCTAGCTGGCGAAAAAGAAAAGATCCGGAAGCGGCCGCAGGATTCCGGGAAAATCAACTTCGACGAAGCTGATTCGATGCGAGAAGGAGGAAATGATGGGGGAAAATCTCCACCCCACGACCAGTCTTCGCCAGGGAAAATCGCCGAGGAAAAATACGACTCCGCGAAAAAAGACTCTGCCGAGACAGGGAAACTCCTTGAAGACCCAAGAAATTATAAGAATTCGTTAAAGTTATCTTATAAAGATACTTTAATAAAAACTTATGATGTTCGAGGGGCTAGAGCCTTGGAGAAATTTCGGGAGGGACTCCAAAAGAAGCAGACAGCTGTGGAGATTATACCGGTACCGGGCAACTTGGGGACCAAATTAAGGAGTGTGGAAAGAAGCCGACCTTTCCACGGAGTCAACGTCCTCTCCCGACACCAGCCCACAACGACTACCCGCTCCCCAGGGAAGACGTCGGTGGAGCTGAAGCAGCTCAAGAGGAAGCTGGGGGTCTACAAAAAGCTGCACAAACCCCGAACTCCTCCAACGGATGCATCCAGTTCTTCGGCATCAATGACGCGCACAGTCGTCAAGGAAACTCCGGGCCCTGGAGAAGAGCCGTTCTCCAAGCAGCCTCGGCCAGCTGCTAGCTCAGGAGCAGATAGCAACGAAAAAGTGTGTACGGATTATTGGGATGTACCCTATGACCCCATTAATGAAACTATCTTTGGGTACTCCGAGCAACGCCCGCCTCTCGTGCTCGAGGTCATCTGCAAAGGACGACACCTCCAAGCACTCGTGGACAGCGGAGCATCTCACACCGTCTGCGACAAGGCAGCAATCGACCGACTTCGGGAAGAGTACAAGCCTTCAGGATTCTCTGCAACGATGGTGGATGGCAGCAAGCTACCAGTACACGGCGAAGCAGTGTTACACCTACAAATTGGACCACTGCGCTGGAGACCTGCACTCCCCATCACCAACATCAAAGGGCTTGACTTGATCTTCGGGCGAGACTTCCTGAAAAAATTCAACCCCGAGATCAACTAGGTGAACCGCACCGCAAGCATCTACAACAATGGACGGAGAGTACAGCTACCCAACTAGGACGATACTGGAGATATCCCAGTGGAGACACTCGCACGATTCGAGAACGATGTGAAGCGGACCGACACCGGGTTCCTGGCGATAGCAACAGAGGTGGAGAATGACGGAGAGGAAGCCTCGGAAACTCCAGAAAAAATCAAGGAATTATTAAAGGAGTTCCAAGATATTCTTCCTGACGATCTTCCGAACGAGCTACCGCCATACCGAACGCATCAACACGAGATCGTGGAGGAACCGGGTTCGAAGCCGACCTTCCGAGCACCATATCGGCTCAGCCCTACGGAGCTGACTGACATGAAAAAACAGATCGAGTATCTCCTAGCCAAAGGACTCATCCGGCCATCCACTTTGCCGTACGGTGCCCCAGTACTCTTCACACCGAAACCGGACGGAAGCCTGCGCATGTGCATCGACTACCGAGCCCTTAACAAGCAGACCATCAAGAATAAATATTCGATACCGCGAATCGATGACCTGCTTGACCAGCTTCGGGGAGCTACGGTATTTTCCAAACTGGATCTGCGGTCCGGATACTGGCAAATACGCATGGCGGACAACTCTATCCACAAAACTGTTTTCCGAACTCGGTACGGATCGTACGAGTATTTGGTCATGCCGTTCGGACTCACCAACGCACCAGCGACGTTCCAAGCAGAAATGAACCACATCCTACGCCCACTCTTGGACGAATGCGTGGTGGTGTACCTGGACGACATCCTCATCTACTCGCGCGACATGAAGCAGCACGTCGAACACCTGCGACGCGTCTTCGAAATTCTTCGACGGGAACGTTTCTACATCAAACTGTCCAAGAGCGAATTTGCCCTGGAGAAGGTCCAATTTCTAGGACACATGGTGAGCGCTCAAGGAGTTCACGTCGACCCCAAGAAAATCGAAGCCGTACGTACGTGGAAGACACCCGAGAACGTGAAGGAGTTGCAGCAGTTCCTAGGCTTCGCTAATTACTACAACAGGTTCGTGCCACAGTATGCGAAACTCGCGGCACCACTCACGAATCTGCTGAAGAAGAACACGCCCTACAAGTGGGAGACGAAGCACCAGGAAGCCTTGGAGCAGCTGAAACAAGCACTAACATCCGCACCGGTGCTCATCTTGCCAGATCCCGAACGTGACTACGTCATTGAAGCAGACGCCAGTGATCAGGCCGTGGGAGCAGTCTTGATGCAAGACCAGGGAAACGGACTGCAACCAATTGCCTACCTCAGCAAGAAACTGCACGGGCCAGAACTCAACTACCCGATACACGACAAAGAGGCTCTTGCTATTGTCATCGCCTTCAAGGCATGGAGATGTTATCTCGAAGGACGTCAAACAACCGTCTACACCGACCACTGCAGTCTGAAATATCTGAAGACACAACCAACCCTTTCCAGGCGGCAGGTCCGGTGGATCGACTTCCTCGAGACACACTTCCACTACGACATCGTGTACAAGCCCGGCCACAAAAACAAAGCAGACGCCCTCAGCCGGCCTGCACACGTTGCCGCTATTCAGGTCGAAGGGATGAATCCACTACTCAAGGGACTCTTCACACACGGGTACGCCACAGACCCCGAAATTCCCTTGGCAGAAAAGCGACATCTGCTACAGTGGGACAGTAACATCGCGTACCGGAAAGGATCAACGAAAATCTGGGTACCTAATTACCCTCCTTTGCGCCAGTTACTACTCGAAGAATACCACGACGTCCTCTACGCCGGACACTTCGGTAGCAACAAGACGCTGACCGGTATCGCAAAGCACTACTACTGGCCCCACTTAGCAGAAGATGTCCAGAAATTCGTCAACTCGTGTGATACATGTCAGCGGATGAAGCGCAGCAAGCAGAAAAAGGCGGGACTACTGCAGCCTCTTCCTGTCCCAGAACAACCATGGCAAGTGGTTAGCCTGGACTTCATCACCGGGTTACCACCTACCTCCAGCGGTCATGACGCCATCCTTGTCGTCATTGACAAGTTCTCCAAAATGGGACACTTCATCCCGACACACACGACAGCACGCACCGAAGAAACAGCACAACTCTTCGTTCGATACATCATCTCACAGCATGGCATTCCAACCACACTCATCTCCGACCGAGACTCTAAGTTCACCAGCAAGTTCTGGAAAGAACTTATGTCTCTCCTCGGGACCAAACTCGCCATGTCATCTGCTTACCATCCGCAGACAGACGGACAGACCGAGCGCCTCAACCAAATTATTGAGCAACTTCTCCGAGCAGCCTGCAAGGACGAGATCTCCAAATGGGACTTGCACCTGCCCGTACTAGAGTTTGCTTACAACAATGCTACACATGCCGCTACTGGACAGACGCCGTTCTTCCTCTGCTACGGACGCCACCCACTCACACCACAGAAACCGACAGCATCAGCTATAGTCCAACCAGCACATGATTTCATCACAACCATGCATCAGCTTTGGGATCGGACCCACAAGCGCCTACTCGACATTCAACAGCAACAGAAGCGCCAAGCCGATAGCCATCGCAACGATCACACCATCACGGTGGGAGACCAGGTGCTTCTTGACACCCGCAACCTGGACATCAGCCATCTCCCATCTAAACTTCGACTTCGCTTCTGCGGGTCTTTTCTCGTTGAAGCACAGGTCACTCCTGTTACCTTCCGCTTACGCCTGCCAGCTACCTGGAAGATTCACAACGCCTTCCACGTCCAACTTCTGAAGCCCTATCGGGACCCGAACACAATTTTCGTCGGACGCCAACCGCCGCCGCCACCGCCCGTCCTCGTCCAGAATGAACCTGAATACGAGGTCGAGTCCGTGCTCGCACACCGCCGTCGTCGGAATTGCACTGTGGAGCTTCTCATCCGTTGGAAGGGTTATGATCCTTCTGAGGACAGCTGGGTACCTGAGTCCGACATGGGTAACGCCCGTCGTCCTCTGCATGACTACCTTGTCAAGCAGGGTGTTACTTCTACCACCCAGCTTTGAGGGGGGGAAGTGTGAGAGTACGACCCCGTTACACCACTTGGCCTTTTCTTATTTCCTTCCCTTTTCATTTCTCTTTTTACCGCATCTCATTTGGGTTCCTATTCTTTCTTTTCCATTACCCTTGGGTTAATCCTGCTATTATAAGTATATCACCGACCAGGCTTGGGATGTATTGGTGCGCTACATCTAGCGTAATCCTGCCGTTATCCCTTAAAGCCAATGGCCTCGCGTGGTTATACACAGGGTGATTCTATATTCTAGAAGGGTCTATTCCTTTGGATATGATAAACCTGGTTACCTGATGTACTCTGGAAGTATAAAAGCGCCTTGTACTGATCGATAGTGCAACCTTTTCTCGACACATTCGATCCTGTGACAAGCTCCCAATCAAATGCCGCAGCTATGAGCAGCTGCAGAAGAGCAGTTACGTAGCTGCCGACTGGAGCATATGTCAAGTCGTAATCGAGATTGGGCAGCTGTGTAAACCCTTGAACGACGAGACGTCCCTTCTCTCGCTCTACCGTATCACCAGGGAGATACTTGGTAGCGAGAACCCACCGATTTCCCATCACATTGACGACAGATGGTGGAAAAACCAAGTACCAAGTGTCTTGGTCCCATAGAGTCTGCATCTCCTTGTCCATTGCTGCCTTAACTGCAGGGCCCTTCCAACTCTTCAGAGCGACAGGGACAGGCATCTTCGAAATGTCCCAACGACGTTCCGGATCTGCCACACGATCTTCTGCAGAGTCCAACTCCGGCATTGTTACGTCTTCGCTTCTGCCGACGAGGGCATTCATCGAGAATGCTGTCAACGCTGCGCGATAACGAACCGGCGGAACTCCTTTGTTAGAGCGCGTCGATCGCCGGAGGGGTTGCACCTCCACATGCGTTTCGTCGGTAGAGTGCTCCTCGGCAGAAGAGGACGACTGCTCCTCCGCGGTCGGGTCTTCTGCGACATTCTGGGCACTGAGCAACGAAGTGACCGATTTCACCGCAGGCGAAACAAGGTTTATCCTTGTTCTTCTTGGCCGATTTCTTCTTGTCATTGTAGCCGTCCTTCTGCTCTGCGGCGG